CGATTCCTGTTTTCTAGCGATCAGCTGATTTCCGCGGGTGCATGCTGAGAGATCAGTTTTAGGGCTCCATATGTTTATTTTTTTTTTTTTTTTTATCAAATCTAAAATATATGAAAGGCATCCGAGTAAGAAATATGATGTAAGCTAAAGTGAGCTGTCACTACATTCAATGCTTTTGAATCATCTTCCACATGAAAGTAAACCTTCATAAGAAACCTTTAATACTGGTATATTTGTATTGTGAATCCCATTGTTGGTTGAAATAATGAATTATTCCCGAAGTTACTGACCATGGAACAAAGTCTAATGAATTGTCAGCATTATAATCTTTATCCCTATCATCATCTTTATGATTAACTTCACACATATCATGAAAATGACCTTCATAATTAGAATTATCATTTCTTATGTAATTATTACGTTAATTACTACCTTTTTCATGTCATTATTTTCATCATCAATGTCATTATTAAAACCTTTGTTCTTGTTACTGTTGTTAGTGTTGTCATTATCGTTATAATAATGATAATGAAAATGGTAATGATGATTATATAATACTATTATCGTTATTATCATTTTTACCATTGACATTATTACCATTATTATTATTGATATTTCATTTTCATCCTAAGCAATCCTACACTCGCCAATATAACCACGGTGATCATAATCGTCATTATCATCGTAATAGCAATCACCATCTTCATTATCATTAAGATTATCAAAATCATGTTTTGTCTTTATTATAATCACTCTTACTATCATAATTATCATGATCAAAATATTATTTTCATACTCATCAGATTTATCACCATCGCTATTTTCAACCAATTCCCCTTTGCTCCTACCCCTCTCTCCTTCCCCTTCGTCGCCCCTCCCCTCCCCCTGATTCTTATAATCCCCTTTCCTCTCTCCCTCTTTCCCTTGCCCTTCTCCTTAAGGGGTCAAAATGCGAAAGAACGGCACATTGCCCCTTCTCCATCCCCATCTCCCCCTCCCCCTCTACCCTACCCCATCTCTCCAATCTCCTCCTGCCCCATTACAATATATGGCAACATTGATTTAAGTCATAAAAGTAGCACGAGCAATACTAAATCTTAAGAGTTCCCACAATCGCATGCAACATCACACCTGAACCCACGAATGAATAAAATAATAAAAAACGATAATAATAACAGAACATATAGTCGATCTAACAGTCACTTTTAAGGCCAAAGAAAACGGGGAAATACAGGACCTGCATTTGTACCGTCTGACTGCAACAACGGCAGCTGCATCAATTACTCTCTTCTCTCTTCTTTGCCTCGTCTTTTCTTTGTGCTGAGCCTCCCCCAACTCTTGCTGCTTGCTGGCGAAGCGTGTCTCGCCTTCGGTTTCGAAACCCTCAGCGGTGCGAATAACGCGGCTGTGCGGATAATGTGGTTGTCCTCGCAACATACATTCCATAGTCCAAATAGAGGGTTTCTGCTCAGTACAAGCTCTACCCGCTTCCCCTTCCGCTGTCTCCCTCAGCTCCTTCCCTCTGTCCCCTGCCTTTTCTCCTCCCTTTCCCCTTCCACCAATGCCCATATCCTTTTCCTTCCCATTCTCTTCTCCCATTTCTCCCCTGTCCCTTCTTCCCCTCTTCCCCTACTCTGAGGTCTCAGTTCGTTTCGAAGTCCTTATCATGTTTCAATTCTTGAGGGCGGAAAGTCCTCACCGCACGAAATTTTGGAATCCATTTACCCTCTCGAATATCAAAATTTCTTACACCTAAACTACTGAACCCTTTGCTCCCATACTGTAGCAGCCATCCATTGCAACCTATATTACTCGAAAGAAGAGCGTCTGTGCTACAATTTCATATGCAACATGGCGCCCTTGCAGGCACGAGAGCAAGCAAATTGCAAATGTGCTTCAAAATTACCTATCGACAAAATCACCTATTGTTACTCACAAGAGGAAACACCGATGATCCCATGTGAAAGCGCAGTGCTGGAGCTGCAGTTAGTGTAGACAAGTCTGGGATTGCATCCCCAAGAGGTAAGAGCGAGAAAAATCGAATGCAGAGAAACAAAAAACAAAAGTTTATCACTCTCCAACATCCACCACTATCTCTTTATTATTATCATCATTATCCTTACTATCATTATTGTATTGTTTTGGAAATAATAGTGAAACATATATGTGCATTATTGTAAATAATATTGGAATCTGTGTTATTATTGTGTACATTAGAAATATAGAAATGTGTATTTATTTTGAAAACTATCGACACGTGAAGTATCTAATTTTGTAGAGGAAGAATTTTCGATTTTAAGTTTTAATGAAAATACATTGTTTACTTCTGGAAGACGTTGCACATTGAGTTTCTTTCTATTATTTCTTGAGGTATTGCTTGGATATCATCATTCAGGGGCAAGGTGCCATCATGCAAGTAAACTGGTCTTGTATTTGAAAGTGTGTGATTGTGGATTAATACTACGAATTTTCTCAGAGGATTTTGTGTAATGATTACCTGTGTGTGAGAAGTTTAATCATTATCATTCTGAACAAGTTTCCAAAGTTTTGGCTCCTCAATTAAATCATTATTTTTGTGTTCTCACTGACTTAAAATTCCTGTGTTGATGTCACTTGTTATTTGCAATATATTGTTTGCAGGTTGAATAAAACTGAAATTTCATGGAAACTCAACTGAATGTTATTCTACCTATGGTGTGATGTGAGCCACCCAGAGTGATGTCTACTTTTACGATTATCATCTTACATGGCTAGCATGGAAAATAATCATTCCTAGCAGTATTAGTGTTGGTAGTTTTGTTCTAGAGAGAGAGAGAGGAAGAGGGAGGCTTGAAGAGAAACGAACATTACTTCTTTCTCTCCTGCATGTAATACCTGAGATTTATAGAAAGCAGACAAGTATCTGTGACAGAGGGAGACAGAATATTAATGAGTGAATAACTTCCTTGCCTGACCTCGCTAGCGGATCCAGAAATTCTGGGTGGGGTGGGGGGGTATCGACCCTGTGAATGACTTACCCGAAGGGCGCAGGGGGATCTGAACTTTTAAAAATTTAGATGTCCTCTAGTGCATTTTTGAGCCATTTCTGGGCAAAATTGAGAAACGAACCGACACGGATTTTTAAAAAGATTTCGTGGCTGTCTGGGACATGTATTTCTGAGCAAGTATAATAAATGAATGAATATCGACTTTCACGATTGGCAGTAACACGTTGACAGTAACATATGGAGGACATAGAAAGCGCTTTGTGCCGTCACACTGAGCACGGCACGGCGGTGTATCGGTGCATTCCACCTGGAACACCATGCGATGAAAAAGGACGTTCCATGTCTGACGGTGCACAGGTTAATGATCTCTACTGAAGATTTCTAAAGAATGGATATATGCATATATATATATACATATATATGGGTGTATATATACTATATGTACTTGTATATATGTTCAAATGTGTATGCTGTGTGTGTGTGTGTGTGTGTGTGTGTGTGTGTGTTATATATACATAATATATATATATATATATATATATATATATATATATATATATATATATATATATATATATATATATATATATATATATATATATATATATATATATATATATATATATATATATATATATATATATATATATATATATATATATATATATATATATAATATATATATATATATATATAATATATATATATATATATATTATATATATATATATATATATATATATATATATATATATATATATATATATATATATATATATATATATATATATATATATATATATATATATATATATTATATATATATATATATATATATATATATATATATATATATATATATATATATATATATATATATATATATATATATATATATATATATATATATATATATATATATATATATATATATATATATATATATATATATATATATATATATATATATATATATATATATATATTATATATATATATATATATATATATATATATATATATTATATATATATATATATATATATATATATATATATATATATATATATATATATATATATATAATATATATATATATATATATATATATATATATATATATATATATATATATATATATATATATATATATATATATATATATATTATATATATATATATATATATATATATATATATATATATATATATATATATATATATATATATATATATATATATATATATATATATATATATATATATATATATATATATATATATATATATATATATATATATATTATATATATATATATATATATATATATATATATATATATATATATATATATATATATATATATATATATATATATATATATATATATATATATATATATATATATATATATATATATATATATATATATATATATATATATATATATATATATATATATATATATATATATATATTATATATATATATATATATATATATATATATATATATAATATATATATATATATATATATATATGTATATATATATATATATATATATATATATATATATATATATATATATATATATATATATACCTCTCTCTCTTTCTTTCTCTCTCTGTATATATACAGTCCTTACAATAAAAAAATGATACATGATAAACAGTTAAATAATAGATGGAAAATAACAAATAATAAAAAGTAAATAATAAACGATAAATAGGAAATAATAAAGGATAAATAGTTAATAATGGAAAAAATAATAATAATATAGTAAATAATATAGTAAATAATGAATAATAAATGAGAATGAATGAATTAATAAATAATCAACAATGAATAGATTAGCAATAAGAAAGAGTAGAGAAAGGTGACAAGTAACAAATAAATGGATAACAAAGGATGCATAAAAGATTATTAATAAATGAATATAAATACCCAATAAAAATTAAACAAATAACAAACATCAATCCTAAATTAATAAAGTTCCTTTCGGTCTCAAAAGTCAAAAGCTGCACATCACCTTCGGAAAACTTGCTGAAGCGCTTCCTCGAGGACGCTGCCGCCGGCTCTCGGGTGTCGGAAGTCGTGGCGAAGCCATAGCCTCACCTCCCACGTCTTGCCTTTCATTGCCCTTAGGAGTTCACTCAGGGATGGGATGTCCTCGGGGTCGCCGCTGATGTCCAGGACCAAGGGTGACGGACGTGCGTGGCTCAGGACACGCAGGAATGCAGCTAAGTGTTCATCTCTTATAAATATGCGTCCAGTGAGATCAATCTTTTTGGAAATTAATGCAGTTATTGTGTTGTCGCACTTGACCTCAGAGAGCAAGTCCAGCCACTGAGATGTGTCCCGAATACCAGTGGCCTTGAGTAATTCCACAAGCTCAGTGGCTCTTTCCTCTGCCAGTGTCTTTCCTCCGAGGTGAAGCAAACCCGTGAGATGAATGAGAATATTCTGGTACTTCACCAAGTCCAACTTTGTCTCTTGGCCGATGTACAAGGCAGCTTCCTTGGTGGCTCCTTCTAGAACGCTCTGAATACTACCTGATTTCTTGATAGTGTCACGTTGGTATTCTAATAATCTCTTAGAGCAGTCATTGAGGCAGGATCTAACAACATCTCTAGGAACTTTCACGAAAGGGAACAGTCTC